GAGATGTGTATAAGAGACAGCCCCCCTCCCGTCCGAGTATCTAAGACGCGTCCGTCTTTTTCGTCGTCGCGTCAACAGTAGCCGCGGAAGAATAGCCTGTTGCTGAAACTATCCCGGAAACTGTTTCGCCGGAACACAAAGCCCCGTATTTGGCGTAATTGTTGTTACAAAAGAGAGCTTCATTATAATTATGCCGCGACTGAAGGCACTTCCGTAATTGCACGCTATTAACTTCATATCAGATTTTAATATTCAATTAACGAGCCGATAACTGGATTGTCTTATGTCACATTAAGGCGCAAGTATTTCACATTCGCATCGTATCTAGCGCTAAATAGAATTAAATAGATTTTAGTCGTGATATTATTAAGTGATTAGCATTTATTTTTAAATTGCATACACTTTAATAATAAAATTTTCACGCGGGTATCTCATATTCGCATCTAACGCTAAATAGAATTAAATGTTAGATTTTAGTTGTGCGACATTGTTAAGCGAGATTAGCATTTATTTTTAAATTGCATATCTTAATGGAATTTTTGACACGAACATTTTATTTTATTTTTTTTTATAACGCGTAGAGGAAAAGCCGATATACGCAGATTAAACCATCTATTTTCACGAGAGAAAAGACACGACAAAGCGAGAGTAAAATCCGATAGCTAATACTTGATTACGCTCAAACAAGTTACTCCTCTTTTAATGTAGTAATTTATTATAATGCGTTAAAAATCGCGGAAAATAAGCGGATAGCCGGTTTGATCCGGTATTACCGGATCCGATATTATTCTACCTTTCCGCACTGCAGCAAGGACAATGCAAAAGGATTCACACGAGAGACGTAATCTCGTACCGGGAACTCCGCGCGGCAGAGTGAGTGAGAGAGAGAGAGACAGAGAGAGAGAGAGAGAGAGAGAGAGAGAGAGACACGCGGCGCAGCCGCGCGGGTATTTTACACGCGTGCGTCCGTCTTTTGGTCGATTCCCCCTTCGAAATCAATTATCACTCCATTCCCTCGAAATTACCGTTAATGCCAGCGCCTGTCGGATTATGGGACGCGCTCCGCGAATTTCCAAAAAAGCGCAAAAGTTTTCGGGGCCGACGTAAGCGGCTTAGCAGCGCGTGCCTATGGCCAGCTGGTCTAATCGATCTATCGGAAACCCATCTCTACGGGTATCGCGCACACACCCGAGGAGTGCGCGCAGGAAGCCCGTTAATCCCATAAATATACCGAAATTATATGCGCGGTGAGCGGCTTTTACTCCGGGAGAACGGAACGGAGAGAGGTGTACACGGGACAAGACGTTACACGTAAATTCTCCCGTGTAGAATACCTCCCTTTATGCGCGGCATAGATCGCGTTCGTGCGCTGAATCTCTAATAAGATACACAAGCGCAATATATACGGATTTATCTTATGATATAAGAATGAAGATTTGTGGCTTAACAAGATTACCTTTTTCGGATATGCGGAGACGCATTGTTATGTATTTTTCCTTCTGTCTCTTGTCCCGAAGGACCTTATTAGAGAGAAACTTTATGTCTCTTTATTAAACTAAGTTTATCTCAAACTTATTTGGTATTCTTTTCTGTTGTAGGTCGTGAAACATGGCCGGCGATGGTGGATGGTGAGTAGAATTTAGGGTTTAGGGTATATGGTTTTTACTTAAAATCGATATTTGAAATCAGTGCGATTCAATTTTTTTTGTAGATTTTGGCATGTAGATGTAGATTTTTGTGTATGAAACGTCGAGTGAGGGATAAGTCAGATCTTTTTATTTTTAAATAAAGTTTTTCTGTTTACTTTTTGGTTTTATTTTTTTTACATTCGCATTGCGTACAGAAAAATTATGAATTTTATAAAATTAAATTTGCAGAAGTTGCAATTTTTTATATTCCATTTTCTACTTATATTTTTATGCTCAAGATTCAGTAAATAACATAAATTTTATTAAACTAAATGCGCGAGTCGTAAGAATTTTGTGACAATGTAAAAAAATTTTAATTTGTAGTTAATTTACAATTATTTTACATTTTGAAACTACGGTTACGATTTTAATAATCCGACTTTTTCGTTTTATGTAATATGATATTACTGTTTCCGTTGAACGATATTCGCAAAGGGATTGCGAAATTGATCTTTGTATGCAAGGCGAAGTAATCTTCGCAACAATATTGCGAAGACAATTTTCACAGAGATATCGCGAAATTGAGTTTCGCATGGGCGTTGCGAGGCGAAACAATATTCAATAGCGAAGATATTGTGAAATAACAAATTAAATTTATAACATGTGATAATAAATTACAAGTTTTGTTCGCTTATAAATATGCTTTAAACTTCATTTTATGATTACATAATTTCATCGCGACGGGTTGCTATTAAAAATATTCACACTTTCCATCTTATTAGCTATAAATATTGGCAAATTTTTAAATAATTTCACAAAGTAGATTGTAAATTTCACGTCGCGAGTGTGTCAAGTAAAATGTTAAGTGCAATGGACATGTTTGTAAAACTTTAACTCTCGATCCGTATATTTTGCTCTGCAATAAATATTTGTTAGCCGTAAATACGTGAATCGTTAAATTATTACGTTGAAATCGCAAGCCCGCGGATTTTGCGAGTATATTAGTGCAATCAAAAGTTAGAAGATGCAGAGAAGCTTTTTCTGTCATTTTTGAGTATTATTGTGTGATTGCAGTGGAAGATATGCATCGATAAACATCGAGGGTCGTTATGAATTAATGAGTGCTGATTTTCGATTAATTTTACAATCGCTCTATCTTTCTTAGCAACGCTTTTCCTGCACTTTACATATTATCCATCATTTTATATAATAAAATATTATTAAAAATTTTAATATAAAATGGTAGTTTGATACATAGTGTAGCTGGAAAGTATAAATTATGCGGCATGCGTAGTAAATACCTAATGCTTGCAAGAATCGCACTTGATTTATGACATGAGTAGAGATTTATGCATTGTTACATTGATTTTAATATTTTGTACCTCGCGTCGCGAATTAATATTGATCGTTAATATATAAAATAATTTTCCATGCAGATGATATAAAGAAAAAAGGTTTTATTAAATTATTAAATTAAGTATTAATTAAAAATAAAAATAAAGGTTTTATAAAATTAAATATTAATTATTAAATTAAATGTTGCTCAATGTTGAGTTATAATACCTTATTCTAATAATCAAGTTTTATTACTCTAATATTAAATACGCGAAATCGGTTCGGGCGGAAATATTTTTCTGCCTTTTTGTTTGCATATATATTCACTTGCGAGGCTTTTTCGCAAACAGTAGCAACATAGAAGCGAATAGTAGTGCATATCGAAGAAGAAATTTCTTTTGAATACGTGTTCTATATCAAAAGGGAATTTCGAATTCTTTAGGCATTGTACCTTTTGATTCCTGAAAAGGTAGTGTGCAACGAAATAGAAGAGCGTGCAGGCTGTACTGGAACATTTATATATCAAATAAGAAAGAAAATTTTACGCACGCGTGCTCTATAAAAATGCAAAGAATTCTTCGCATTTTTATTTTATGCTATTCTTATTTATAAACATGTGGTTTTTGCTTTTAAATAAGCCGACTCATTAAAAATGCTAAATGTTAGTAATAAACCTCAAAAATTTGCGTTTATACATAGAGCCAGTATTTAGATTCACCAACGTAAAATATAGCAGATCTTAAAATGATAAATTGGGTCATTCTCCACGTGACTAAAATAATCACGCAAAATTATTTTTCGACGATCTTTTTCGTTTTATACCGTTCTTCGCAATGATAAATATTTAATCACTGTAATAGCTTTCTGTTATATAAAAAAGATCAGTCAATTAATTCTTATATCCTTAATAATAACCAAAAGTAAAAAAATTCTTACATATTTTTTAATTAATTTAGCTTACAATTTTTTTAATTAACTCTCAGTATATGATTTTTTTAAATAAAATTCTCAGCAATTTTTATTAATGTAATACATTTCATAAAAAAATATTCAGTTCACATTACACCAATACTTGCAATAATGCGTTATCAATATAAGATATGATCGTACCATATCTACGTGATCAGTACATTTATCATATCGTGATAGCATGTGGGCAGACAGTATTTATCATTCTTTCGAATCTTGCTGAACAGGCAGTATTACAGTTGCCACTAATGCGATTTTATCTTTTATTACAATGTAGCCCAGTTAAAAATGTAATAGCGACGACAGATAAATTGCCTTCGAAAGATATAGACGATAGATAAATGTACGCCTCGTTATCTGTTAATGTTAAAGGGCACGAAGGATAGACGAGAATCACGAATGTAAAGAATCGTATTACCGACGCATGCTTCTTTCGTGCCTTTTACCTACCCCCGGCTCGAGCAACCTCTAAATCGATAAAATAACCGAACTATACATCTACCGCACGGGATATATACAATGGTAAAGCCAAGGGTATCAATGTATGGTACGATTTATCATGTAATATACAATTTAAACAAATATTTTTAAGAAAATATTTTTAAGAAAAAATATTTTTAAGAAATATTAATTTGCTTTTATTAAGCTAGCTTTCATTAATCCAACAAAAGAAAGCTAACAAAATTACTTTGCTATCAGGTTCATTAAATGTCATAGGCTCATTAAATAAGTACTATGATATAAAAAATACTGTTTATTGATAATTATTGCTATATAAATGATAAAATGTTGACAAAAGTATAAATTTGTATTGTTTGTGTAAATGAGTTTTATGACAATTTGTCGCAACATTTAGATCTGTGGTGTCCCTTATCAGGCGATAATGTCGAATTCCATTGAATTGCGAGTTGCATCACGAAGCGGTGTATCCTTTTTTCCAAATCGTGTCTTTTAAGTAGGAACCCACTATAGGATCATTGAGCATTTCCTCCACGATATTCTTAAAGCCAAGCTGACTAGCTAACATGTATTTACATTCGACGTCTGATAGTTCAGATATTAGAGTTTTCATGTTGTCTGTCATAGAATGATTGATACTCTTTTCCAGTCTGTATCTAGATATAACATCAAAAAATCATTTAAATATAAAATTTAAATAAGATACGCACATATTCACATAAATCGCATATTAAATTTACCTGCGCGCACAATCTTGTACAATCATAGGCGTAAGATTGTTAACTGTCATGAATTCTTTGAGATATCTCGCCTCTCCTTTGAGAATACAATGATGATAAATAAGATTAACCCAATCCGCGTGATAATTATAAGCGCGAATAACGATGAGAGCTTGGGAGAAGTTCAAGACGTGAGATAATATTCTCTCCAACTCGTCGCTTTTCAAATTCAGCAGACATACTGCTTGCTGATTTTGCGGTACTGCGTTCAATAGAGAAATTTGAAGCGCGACCAGTTGGGCTTGATGCGAGCATCGGTTAGCGAGATTCAGTTTCTTATCCTGGAAGTAAAATGCATTATTTTTTTATGACAATACTTGTGATAGTGCATACGCACTTTCTAATCTCATTTCTCTTACCTGTAAATAATATTGAGTAGCATGAGTGTAGTTAGTTACAGCCAGTTGCAACTGTTTCTGGACATTATCGTTTCGGGTCAACTTTATTTCTACCGGGATACCTGCAGTTAAGCCTCTTCCGATCTCTTTCAATATGTCAGATATTATTTTTGCAATTACTTCCTTCGCCTCGTCTTCCCACATGAGTGCGATTTCGTAATACAAGCGGAAATGAAGCGCCACTAGAGTAAACAGCTCCTTGTCTTCTGGACATTGGCGCTTCAAGAACTCCAGCAGTGCCATTTTTAGACCCGGAACCTGCGCAATTGAAACGAAAATGCTTTTCGATAAAAAGCGAAAAAATTACACGTCTATATTTAATACTGTACAAGCAAAGATACCTTGTCCAAGCCCTGCCCCAACAAAGACTCAAACTGATCGTTTTCTTTCAAGATTTGGAATATGTAATTCATTTCGGTAAATCGACCAACACCGGTTACAAGACGTACCTAATAGTATGAGGTGAAAATTTAAATAAATTATATTATTTTGGAAACAACAATAATTGATTAAATAAGATAATAAACGTACCAGTAGCGCCCAATGTTTTAAAATTTGTAACATATTCGCGAGGCTCTGACATTTTCGTAATACCGAGGCTATTCCCTCCATGTTACAGGAAGCCGTGAAACAGTCGTGCGATCTTATTAATAATTCCACTATTGTTTTCAATCCCGACACTGTAACGCAATAAACAGAAATATATATTTATCATATTAAAAATAATGTAATATATTTAAGGAATTACGCGCGTGAATTACCATTTTTCTTTTCATCGTGAGTACTGACGTATCTTTCCAGCAATGATTGCGCTGTCTTCAACAATTTTAAGCCCAATAACGAGATATCGCTGCAAAGCTCCATTATTAAATGAAAATGCGAATTCAGAGAATAGCCCCATATAAAAATCAAATCTTCCTGACCGTCTGTTGAGATATTATTTTTAATATTCAGATAATTATTCGAATCAAAAACTAAGAATTTTCTCACAATTACCTTCTATGGCACGATTTATGTGCATTGCAATGCTTTCAGTCAAGAATGTTGCCACATTTTCCGTCTTAATTTTGTAAGACATTATTATATCGTTAGCAGTCTCAAATTTGTTTTCAATATTGCTTTCTACAATCTCCTGCAGGAATTTAATCGGATCTTTTAGCATCAACAGCGATTGATATGTCTTCCCTAGGCACATAGCAAGTTTATAACACGAAACAATTCTAAAACAGATCTCATTTCCGTGCGTGAGAATTTCCGATAATTTTTCTAAGGTTGAAATACACTCCATCTGGAGATTGCTGATTGTCACATCGTTTGTTTTGCTAGGTTCTCCTATCGACGAAATTGTGTTTACTGTAAAAATGAAATATATTGAAATATAAAAAGATCAAAAAGTGTTTTTAGGTAGACGAAGTATGTAGAAATTATTTATCAATGTTTTGGAAAAAATAGCGGGACGTACAGGATGACGTTGATGAAAATTTTTGCAAACCGCGATTACGTAAAATTCCATATTTTTGTTGCTTGTTCTGATTCCTTTCCTCCAAAAGACTCCTTTGCTGCGAAGTCAAGTCCGCTGGTGAAATTTCACCCTCTGCTAAACTTAAACACAACATCAGTATTCGCAGATCCTATAAAAGAATAAAAAATGCTCTTAAATTTAATAGTATACCCGCAAATCTCAGGATAAAAGAATATTACTATTTACTTTGTGATTGTAATTGAAAATTGCGCTTATTCGTAAGGCTGTATCCAATTTTCCCAGATCAATTAATTTATTTATTAGAATTTTCGCAGCTTTTTCCTCATTCTCATCTGTCAAGGAGCAAGCGATTTGTAACGTATCCAAACCAGATAGTAATTCTGTTTTTAATTTATTGAAAATACAGTCATTGTAGTCGAACTCTATATTTTCGGGTTCAGCTAATATACATGATTTCCACATTGCCATTTCCAGAGTATCGATAGTTTGTTGCTCGATTTCGGTATTTTTCAATGTCTCATAAGCCAATTTTAAAACTTCGTATCTAGAAAAAGAATAATTGAGTATTTATAGTATAATTATTTATAGAGTTAGCGTTATACAAGATATTTACCGTTCTTTATGCGATATGACTTTCTCAGCATGTTCGACAAAAAATTCAACTGCTACTTGAGGCGGAACATTGTATTTGTTAAAATCCTGTGCACATTGCATCCAGAAGGCAGAATTTATTTGACCATCTTCGTTTATAGATTGTTTAAAAGTATTTCGAGACTGAAAATAATGTTATATTTATAGAAAATAGTATAGTTGTATAAAGAGTAGTAATATAAAGAGGGTATTTGACTTCTCGATAAATTTCGTGAGACATTACTTGTGCTAATATTATCTCGGATGAATTTAATCCGGCGCAGCATGCTAACTCCAAGGCAGTGCTGTAATTCTCGATTGCCGTTAGCTCGTTAACGCATCTTTCAATCTCTTCGTCGAAATTATATGTATTATCGATTAGAGTAGCATTTCTGAAATTTAATGCCACGTCGGTTTTCTGCAGAATTTTTGTTATATCCAACAAGCGTTGAAAATCCGGTACTGCAACTGCAATATGCAACAACAATTTTTACAAATTATTGATGATTACAAATAACTGTATTTAATAAGGACAGATTAATATAAAAAAATTGTGCACACATATATTCAGGCATTTTACCTGGTAAATCTGCAGAAAAATTATTCTTTATTAACACCTCGAGAAACTTCATTCGTAATGCTGTACTTTGAAAGCCGTAACCGAGTGCCGTAACAATACATCGGATTGCAACAACTGCAACCCAATATAAGTTTTTCAAATACGTAAAATGGACGCTGTCCCAATCCATAATTTTCTAAAAAAGATAAGACCATTGAAGCTATGTGAGCTAGCTAATATAATAATAGCGAGATTGTTTCATTATACTTCTGTATAACGTACATTGCATTTCAGCGAGGAACATTGTAATTTAAACTCTACTAAATGCCGTTGATTCTCCTTGAATTCGCCGTTACTGACCGCTTGCGTCAGAAACTCAAAGAATGAATTCAAGATACTATCCTGCAAGACATTAGTATCAATTACAACGAAAATTCTTCGGCCGTCAATAGGTCAATTAAACTTACAGGCATGAAAATTTTGTAAGCTCGATTAACTGTGTTGATGTAACCGCACTGAACCATTCTGCTCAGTAATTCCGACACTTTGTCGGAGGGCCATATCTGTTGTTCTAGACATTCCGTGTAATCAAGAAGTATATCCTCTCTTCTTGACGATATTACCATCCAACAATAGCAAAATGCCGCTACAGAGGACGGCTATAAACATGAGATTTTTAAATCGTAGATTTTTAAAATGAAAAATCGAGAAAGTTAATTAGTTTATTAGTTAACTAATATTATATCAATCGGAATAAAATATTACCTCGTAACACGTAGCTAAGACAGTCAATATAGGTCTTAAAGTTGAGCGAGACGCATTAATTAATGCTCCCGGTGGATCTTGACTTTGATGACAGTTTAGTATAGTTAACCATAAGTTATCATCCGAAGAAGGTGAGGTGCAACTGTTTAAAATATCTTTGGTATTACTTGCATCTATCTCAGTTTCCGATGTGGCTGAAGTAGACACTGGAGATTCCTGGAGAATGACATATGTTTATGTGTACAGGAATTAAAATTATTAACAAGAAAAAATTATTAACAGTAATAATCCCTACATTTTCTTTCGCTCCAACTTTGCGCTGCCTCGACGATGATTGCCTTGCGTCATGGAATTTCGCCTTCTGCTCGTTGCTTGGTTGAGATTTGCTGAGTTTATCGTTGCTTAAACACGTCAACAGATGCTCCCGTACGCTCGCGTTATTGAACAATTTGGCGTTTTCCAGCATCTGCCATGTGATTAATTCGAGTTTTATTTCTACAAGCTCTATTTTGATTCAGCGCTATCGCGTCGAAACGTACCTGATTTGTGGGATAAGCGAATATATGACCGACTGCAACGAATTCGAACCACAAGTCATGATCTGCTAAATATCTCGGCAATATGTCGGGCAGCGCACAATTATGAACGCGTGCGAAGCGTACGGTAATGTCCCATATTTTCAACGCTTCGACAAATTGCGCGCTGTCGCACTCGAAAGTTTTATCCGCTAAATATTTTTGGAAGCTCTGTTCTAGATACGATATCACAGACTTTAAATCAGTTTGGTTCTTATACACTACATTTTCCAATAGGTTCCCTGTACAACAAATAATACCGTTTTTAAAACATGTTTTCCCACAATATTATTACAAAAGCCAGATTACCTATGGAGATATTTAGCTGCTCTTGTACGTATTTTGCCACAGTAACGTGTAATTGTAAATTACTCGAGTCGATTTTCAGCAACTCGATGAACGCGATACAGCTACATACGATATCAGACTTATCTAAATTTCTCAAAGCGAGAACGTGCGCATATAAGGCCGCTTTGAATTTCCTAAAATTATTATTCATTATTAATGACGGCAAAGTGAAAATTAATGTTGCGAATATATAACGAGACTCATAAGTCAGCGGAACAAAATGAGCAGAATCAATTTTAACTAATATATTTATTTGTTGCTCATTTTGTGAGGTCATTTTGTTTCGCTAACTTATACAAGACATGAGTATACGAACCTGTGAGAGGATACATTTCCGAGTAATTTCGCTTGTGCATGCGTCAAGCTGTGCACAGCCATATTCGGCCTGCCTTCTTTCAGATAATAGCCGTACGTCAGCGTTTCTTGGTACCCGTATTTCTTAATCAGATTCTCGCTCGTGAAAGTAGGCAGAGGCTCATTCTTGAAGCGCCACTTGAATAACTGCTTCGAATTCAAATTTCTATAGCCGTCCAATAAGTCGTATACTGTAATATCGTCTTTTTCGCTTTGATCTTCGATGATACTTTGCAACATCGGCAGATGCGTAAGCGTAGACTGCAGAACTTCTTGGGAAATGACACGCGTGTCGATTTTTAGGACAGTCTTGTTCGTAAATATATCTCTCATTAGCGTATTCCTCTCTGAAGAGCTCGCCTCGTCGCGCAGCGCGTCCCGCGTTTGCCACAATTGCAAAAATATTAATGCCAAGCTTACTAAATAATTTGTCTTCAGATAGGCATTAAAATCGTCCGAGATGTAGTCGATCGATTCTACAATTCCGCGTTGGAACGCCTCTTCGTAATTATCTCGAGCGCTGCACATATCGGTTAAAACGTTATATAATCTTTTCAATTTTAGATTGTCTTCCTGAGTATGACAGTTTTGCGAGCAGTGTGTAAGGCACAGTTGTTGATCGACGCTTTGCAAAAATTCCGTTTTATCGATGTTGCAGAAAGGTGAGGATAATATCGCGCCAAGTTCTTCCAGTGTAATACCACAGCCAAACGAACGATTTAATGTCAATTTCAAATCGTTTTTTTCTTGCGTTGTATAAATGCCGTATCTGAAATAATAAATTCGGACTTTATTATTATATCAACAAAGAAGATACAGATATATGTACACACGTCAAATAGCCACTGTACGTACCTACATAAATGATTTTTAGTTAGATGCTTTACGAGATCACTAGCATGTGAAGAATCTATGTTGTCAATCATATCGGATGTAATAGTTAAATTCGCAAACAGAGACTTTAAATGATGATCCATTTCATCTGAGGTCTGTGGTGCGTCTGGATTATATCTTGCATCAATCCATACCTTTAGTGCCTCAATTTTATTATTGCATAATAAATAATCCCACAGAGTACTATTTGACACATTTCCCAAAATCTCTGGGTCGTTCAAAGAAAAATATAACTCAGTGCGTAACGCTTGCTCGATATTCGGTGTTAGTTTCATTATATCGTCTATACATATACAAGAACTTAATCCATTTTGAATTCTAAAATAAAAAGATAATTTATTAATGTATTTTTTTCTTATCATGAGATGTGTATTTTTTATTTTCGCAAACTTACTTGCATTTTTCTTCATGCTGTTTAATCGACTTGATAATATTCCATGCTGCGACATGTTCACTTTTGAATCCGTCAACGTTTATCATATATTCACACAAGTAATCCCTTAAAAGAGGTTCCTTGCTCTTTACAGAAACAGCAAAAATATGTTCCACGGGATCCTTTCCCTGTAAAAAGATTCATCTGTATAAATATATTATTTCTTTTTAGTCGTAACTTAGAACTTTATAATTAGATTCTATCCTGGGAAAAATATATAATTAATTATATTAATATATAATATATATGACATACCATGTTATTTAAAATATGTGAAGCTCTGTAAACCTGTTTCTTGTTTAACAACTCGTTGACCCAATTTTCCACTTCTTTGTTGAAATATATACATGCTTGCTCTACAGAACAATTTCTTCTGTATGCAAGGCACTTATGAGCTAGTTTTATGTGAGTTCCCTTGGCAGATGCTTCTCTCACAAGCTCTCTGTCTCCCAGCGTACGCCAGCCGGACCAAATCGCAGCCGCTTCTCCAGTTAGACATTCCACAGGAATACCACCGACCGTCTTTTTCTCAGACATTTTACGATATTGATATACAACGTAATTTTCACATTAATTTATTAACGCACTGATATCTTATTCATACAATTATAAATGTTGTCTAGTGCATATTGAAAGATCATACTGGAAAATTAGGACATTTTTATATTTTCCATGATATACGCAATTTCTAAAAACACGTTCTTTGTAGATTACTGTATTGTATACTGTATTGTTAAATCACATCTGATTAATTTACGTTGCGTTATCAGTTGGTGCACGTATCAATTTTGTTTCCCTTTTAGGTATATAAATTTTTTGTAAGAGCAGATATTATAAAATTATGTAGATCTTAGTTACACGAGATAAATTCGCAGTACAATAGATAGGTTAGGTTAAATAAAAGCAACAACTACAACAACTGGAGTACAGTCACTGATACATATTACATTCACACTCTCAAACGATCACAATAATTATTTATTTACACGAGTTATGTATTTTTATGTGGGATATGAATCATACTTCGGTCACATTTTGTTGTTTATGGAATGCAGCACTACTGTCAATTTGTGCCTCTCTGACAGCAGCAATTTAACCAGCAATCGGTAAAATCACCGGCAATCAGCTGACGTAGATATAGTTATATATCTCACAACTACACGATTCCTATTAGACAGACGTAGAATATAGCAACATTAGTGACAATATTGTTAATTAATTGTTAGGAATTTTATATCGCATTTGGTAAATATGCAGTATAACGTTCTCATCTTCGATTTTTCTGAATTTTTGTAAATTTGTTTATTTTGAGTGTAGAACATTTTCTGAACAGAAATTCCCACTCAAGTATTGTTTTTTAAAAAAATATAATTTTAAAATTTTTTGATGTCGGTAATTAGGAAAATGATAATTTATGGCTATGTAAAGCCCTGCGCATGCTCATTAATGTTATAATTTACAAATTAGTAGTAGTCGTTATGCAGATGGTTCTACGAGAGGCCCAGCGTCACTTAAATCTAGAAAGTTCCTCTGTGACTCTCGCTAAGAGTAGATCACTATATGGCAGTCTCATCCCCTGTTAGACACTAGGCTTTGTTCAAGCCTGCGCCAGACAGTAGACTTGTTTCAGCCCTGCGTCAGACAATAGGCTTTATTTCAGCTCTATGTCAGACATGAGGTCCTTTTTAAGGACCGCTCATTTTTTTCCTTCTTTATATGCAGCATAGACTTATAAGAAATTCCACGCTCCCATTAAAAATGTAAAAGCAACATCAGTGAGAGAAGGCAATAGGATGTTAAGTGCTTTTTTTGTTCAATTGCTGCAGCAACGTGCATACAATCAATTGTTGCAACAATTGAACTATGAAAACATCTAACCTCCTATTTGTTCTCTCACTGATGTTGCTTTCACGTTTTCAATGGGAGCGTGCAGTCTATTTTATAAGTCTATGATATGCAGATATTTTGGCAGAGATACTCTTGGTGATTTTTGCCTTGCCTTTCGACAGGTGGCGATCGCTTCCGGATCGATAATTAAAATCGATAATTGAGATGGGTTTGAATCTGGATCTTCGGCACGGTAGGCTGCCACGCAGCTCTCTGCGCCACGAGCGCTCATTATTTACTACAAATTAAGTATCGTTAAAATATTTTTTAACCTAATTATGTAATTTAAATTATAACAGAAGATTCTCTGCTTTAATTAATTAAAAACAAAAATTAATTTCTTTATAATTTAAATTATAATAGAGAATAGTTTGTGATTTAAAGTTTATACTAAAAAAAAATTAGTTTCTTATATAATTTAAATTATAGCAAAGAAAATAGTTTGTGATTCAAAATTTATGCTTTTTAAATTCTTTTTATGTAGAATAAAATTCAAATCAAACATTTCTTTAAAATATACACTATAATATAAATACAACTATATCGTGTACCACTCGATGCTCGAAAATATTTAAACTTATTAAACGAAACTTATTATCGAAAATATTTAAATTTATTAAACTACAAAAAAGTCGCAGGCGAGTATTATACTGCATATTTACTATACCCTATTATTTCATATATTAAATATTGCTTGAATTCAAATAATTTTGTGCAACAAAATTTATCTACAATTTCAGAAAAAAGTTTCCGAAAGAGTTAGTTTCTTTTTCAGAAACCGATTATTTTACTAAAATGCTCACGTTTGATCTGTCGAGAATTCTATCGTAAATAGGACATCACGTTTCTGATACATTCCTTTACGCATTTGTCATAGCATTCCCATTATATTTACACTACTAACGTTCGAAGAAAACTCAGGTACGCCAGACTTGTTTTGAGTACCTAGTAAAAAGTTAAGTTAAAATAATACATAAAATAATACTTTCCCGTAATTTAGTTTATTATAGCTGCAGTCTCTTATTAAGAGCACATACAGAGAAAATAAAAGCGCTTCCAAGCAAATTATTTTGGAATATCGATTATTTATTTTTTTGAAACTTTTTGTCGTCAGATTCATTTCGCGTAAACGTCCCGTACTACAGTCTCTTACACTTCCGAATGTCGCTAGTGATAAATCTATCATTCTGCCAGCGGTGATCTTTATAGGGTGGCTGGACATAGCGATCACTAAGACTAGACTGCGAACCGATTTTGCCGGCAGCTGGTACCAACGGATCATGAAGCACCTCGTTCCAATTTGACTGCTCTGAAATATTGAATTCGCGAAAAATACTCGAATAATCTTTTGAACCGTTTTGAAATACAGCCTTCATATTCACGAAGGCTGTATGTTTGTTTTCATGTTTGCGAAAATGGAATAATTAAACGTTACGAAGTTTTAAATGCTTAATTTTATTAAGTCTATAAGTATACCTTTTCCATGAGTTGCTCCCCAATGTAACATAATATATACATATTGAAGCAGAATGAAATAAAGAGCAGAAAATAAGTTGTTAAGCCTACTGCATCGCTGTCTTCCCAGTCCTGTTGAAAATTATAAGTAGAAATTTGATTTATTTTGAATTTAAAGAAAGGAGATTGCGACTTTCCTTTTTTTTTTTAAATATATATTTGAGCGTACCACTATGCAGAAATATTCGGGCAAACACATTGTGAATATAGAACTGGCGAATTCCAATAAGCACACTTCCTGTAAAATTTCTTCCACGGCGGCGGAAAATCTGAAACAGACCTCTGTTACTCGCATGTGAGAAATCGACTCGTGGTTTATGAATCATACTCCATATTCTTAGCACTGTCAAATGGCTATATACGAGTATAACAAAAAGAATTCTGTCACTCTTTAATAATTTGGGTGTAAAAAGTTGCATTTTACCCGCCTTTTGTGTGTTGCGCAAGTCATGATGAAAAATTATATATATATGTTATAAAATTGAGAAATTTTTACTTGAAAAAATTGTTTTGAATATTAAGAGCTGGAATTTTTTTATAATAATATTTATTAAAAATATATGTATAATAACAGAAAAAATTTATTTTTTACCATTTGTACAAAGATATGTTAAGATTGAATCTAGATGAAGCGAATAGGCACGAACAATCACGAACGGATAACTTGCTTTAACGTGTGATGTCGCTGCTCGTTCATATTGAAGCAAGTTGTTCGTTCGTGTTTCTTTGCGCTCGCTTGCATAGTTTAGACCGGCTTTATACAGCGAAAAGTATGTGTATAGGCACGCGTTGAGGATATAATAGCGCATGCTCATGGTCTGCGTATAAGCATGCAACCGCCCACAGAAATGCATTGGAGGTCCGTCAAACACCTGTTGCATTTTACCCGCCTTTTGTGTGTTGCGCAAGTCATGATGAAAAATTATATATATATGTTATAAAATTGAGAAATTTTTACTCGAAAAAATTGTTTTGAATATTAAGACCTGGAATTTTTTTTAAATATATTCAAAAATATATTTTCTCTATGAGAATAGAGAAAATATATTTTTGAACATCTGGATCCATCGATCACATTCAAATTATATCAAAATTCTAAAAATCAAATGCAAATGCATGTAATATAGATGTGACTGTAAAGATACAGATAAAAATTTTTCAAAATTTTATGGATTTAAATTTTTTGCAGATTCAGTATTTTTTTATTTAGAATTTTCAAGAATATATACTGTATATCTCAAGTATCATAATTCAAGTTGATTTTAATTAAATAATAAAATCATTTTTGAAATTTATAGCAAAAATATAAAATTGAGGCTGCCTCATTTTCAGACTCTTATTTTTTACATATTTGCTCTCGTCAGACTGTTTAAAATATAATAAAAATTTTAAAAATCTTCAGAAGGAATCAAGCTCTAATAATTCTATTGAGATTCTGAAATTATGGTATTAAAAATTTTGGAAATGTATAATACATAACTATATATATATTACCTCAATATTCGAACGTGATTTTTCACAATGAGAGAGATTCGTTGATTAACGTCCGACAATTGCTCGAAGTTTTTGCCACGTGAAAGATCCTCGAGACGAGATACGATTATCTCGATCTGGCCACACGTGTGGGTGGCGAATATTGCTGCTAATCCGCACGATCCGGCCGTCACCGAGTACATGGTGTATCCGCACATGCAGTGGGCCAGATATACCATTTCATATATCGGGCTTTCCTGCGTTTTAAAGAACTTACTGTAAGTTGGATACACGAGTGGTCTAATGGTTTGGTTGTTGATCTTATGCTCGGTGCAGAACGGCAGAACTGTATGATAAATGAAGCCGGCAATGTACATGGAAGTCGCGCTGATCATGGACAGTCTACGGCCAGTGGTAGCGTACTTCAGCATCAAGTCGCGGTCGGCGCTGAATTTCGCCTGTTACAATATTGCAAGCAGTGTATTTATTAAAAGAGATAAGCGACAAAATAATCATTACTTACAAAAATTATCAAATAAATAGAATCAGTTAAAAACGAGATTTCTTTTTTTTGTAAAGTAAAGTTAATATCTTTGCTATAAAAAAAATATTAATTTTTTAAGACATTAATGTGAGTATTCTATCAAAAAAATTCCGTGAGTGCCGAAAGGTGTTAAAAACTTTAAATTTAAAAAGTATTTTAATTTTTTTTAATTGTAAAATAAATTTTACAAATTCTTATTTTTTTGTCTGAGTTACTTTCTAGTGTCTTTATAACATATATATTTTTTTCAAATTTCTTGGATATACAAATATTTAGAGATACGATTTTTAAATTAAAGTTCGGCAATTTTGTGATAACACATACATAATATACTCTTATATTTAAAATACTATGTCTATATTAGTATCTTTTTATTGTGTCCTTTTCATTGAATAAGTTACGATTTTTTTTTCAATCAGAGGCACCACAGTCTTTAAAGAATTTTGCAGATTAATCCATTGGAAAACAAAGCATTTTTTCAAATTTTATTGTTAATTTCTGCTTAATATTTTTCTTCGTGAAAAATTACTTTTAATTGTCACATTAAGCCCTATCTACATAAGCCCCATCTAATAATTTCTGATTAAATAATCTGTAAAGCCCCATCTACATAAGTCGCAAACGCACAACGCAAATGCAAACGCGGAGAAAAAAAAAGAACGAAACGTCAAAAAATAAAAGAAAAGAAAGAGAGGAACGTCCGTGTTTGCGTTTGCGTTTTGCGTTTGCGACTTATGTAGATGGGGCTTTAACTACAGATTATTTAATCAGAAATTTAGCTTTTAATAAAAAAGTGAAAGAACTTATTTTCGATTGCCTATATTCAGATTAACACTATGGATCGGTGTTCTCATGGCACGCATTTATTTTGAGCTCGCAAAAGGAAAAAAAAATTAGTCACCACTTGTAATCGTTACGCCGATAAATTTTATCGGCCGATCCTGTAACACATTTTACATATCAACAACACCGACCTGCCACCAGTCACTCTTCACATGCTCGATACAGCGCAATATTTTGGGTCGACGTATCGCGAGAACGCAATACTTCATCATCGCGGTAGTGCAGAAGCCCAGCAGCCCGAAGAGCTTCAGCCTTATGTTGAGGTCCTTCTGGTCGTAGACGATGTGCAGAATGCAGGGTACTATCGCGAAGGCTAATGCAAAATTACACAGCACGATCGCGATCTTGTATGCGTGCCGCCCGATTCCGCGGATCGCGAATGGCCAGATGCCGATTGAGCCGAGGATCCAGTTGCCAGGCTTGAAAATGTACCGTATGTCCCGCTGATAACTGGCGTTCGGCGACACCGTATGCTCGTTCTGTGAGCTTTCCATGTTCGCAATGACAGGTACCGCTGAAGACTGCACGAGGTGGAGGCGCGGCATTGATTGCAAGGTCGCCGGACACGCGCTTGCGCTCGTGTTGCGGTCATCCTCTTCTGCTTGCCGACAGTCTGACAGATCGTGTGTGTGTGATTGATAGGAGAGTAGTCGTGCAGTGCGTACGTTACGTCCCGGTGGTTAGATTGAAGAGCAATTCTTCCTCTATTTTACTTAAATTATCCACTTTTAATCGATAATTTGAGAAATTTAGATAAAAATAAAGTTAAGAAATTATTTAACATTTCTTATTATTTAATCGTTAAGTTAAAATTAATTAATTTATTAGCACGCATTATACAACAAATTAAAGAAAAAAATAATTGGTGATACACAGATGATTTAACAACAAGAATTAGTAGGATAAAGAAAGTGAGAAAATGTGTACATCTGATATCTAGACATAAATGTTTTATTCTGTAAGTAATATCATAACATATATTATAACATATATTATAACATAAATAGATTTTATTTATATATATACGACGATTTTTACTGTACTAAACTGATAAATTAGATCAAATTTACAACATTTTTTAAATATATGTTACGTTGTAATCATATATTTACATGACTAATGTTCTTAGGAAGCTCAGATATGCCAGGCTAGTTTTTAGTACCTAAAAAAATTATATATACTAGGACGATACTTTTTCAGTCGCATAATTAGTTTTTTGTAATTTTTAGAATGAAATCTATTGCTATTATTGTTACACAAGAATATTATTAATTAATTCTGGACTGATTATTACAAGTTTCGTTTTAAAATATAAAAAAAACAGACGTAAGATAGAAATGAAATTAATTAATAAATACGTGATGCCTTACATTTCCAAAACTCGTTACTGATAAGTCTATCATTCTACCGGCACTGATTTTTATGGGATGGCTGGCCATTGCGATTATCAATATAAGACTGCGTGCTGATTTTGGCGATAGTTGATACCAATTAATCATGTAGCATATTGATCCGATCTGACTGCTCTGTAATATCAGTCGAATGATTATTCAATTGTGATTAACGCTGTCGAAATTAAACGTGGCCGTATCGAGAAAAACGATGGTGTACCTTTTCCATGAGAAGCTCGCCGATGTAGCACAATATGTAGATATTGAAGATGAATGACACAAGAAGCAGAAAATAAGTCACTAGACCAATTCTATCGTTCGCTCTCCAATCCTATCAAATTTTAAATAGCATATGTAATGTTTTATAGGATATTTCGTTAAGAATTTTTTCTTTTCTTTCAGTATATGTTAGCGCACCACTATGCAGTAATATTCGAGTAGACATATCGTGCATACAGAACTAGTGAACTCTACTAAACACACTTCCTGCAAAACTTCTTCCACTATGGCCGCGAATCTGGAATAAGTCACTTCAGTTTGTTACAAGAAAATTTTAGTGCATTACTTCATTTATTCTAACTATAAGTATTCAAAGTTAGTATTCGGTGTAAACATATAATTTGATTGATATATATAGTGCGCGCATGCTTATAATCTGCGCATTGTCTGACACGCAACAGTATCGTCTATTATAATGGATTAAAGATTGATTGAGATCTGTTGCATTTATCTGTCTCCTTATCACATTCATATATAATACATATAATGAAATAACAATAATTGAACAAATTATATGAATGAAATTTTTCTCAATAATATCAGTATCAAATTAAAATTCAAGTTATAAATTCAAATTTAAATTATTTCTTTGCTACATGTATCAACTACTACTTATGAGCAGACAAATTTGTATCCTATGTAGTTTGTAATTTAAATTTAATTTAAATTTCTATATTTTTTAATTGGTAACTTAAGCTGAAAATTAAATTTCTTAACTACAATTTTAAATTTTCCATATCCGGTAGATTATAGAAAGAAATTAATTATCATACCATACCTTATTATTCGTACGTGATTTCTCACAATGGCGGCGATTCGATCATGGACGTTTGGGGTCTGTTCGAATCTTTCGCCGGCTAATAAGTCTTCTAGTCGTGATATAAGTATTTGGATTTGGCCACATATGTGAGAGGCGAACAAAGCGGCCAATCCGCAGGCACCAGCTGTCACCGAGTATATGGTGTATCCGCACATACAGTGAGCCGCATACACGATCTCGTATACTGGGCTAATTTGTGAGCTTTGGCTAAATTTACTATAGATCGGATACACGAGCGGTCTGATGGTTTGATTGTTGATTTTGTGCTCGGTACAAAACGGCAGAACCAAATGATAAATGAACCCGGCGATGTACATGATAGACACGCCGATTATCGTCAGATTGCGACCGTTGGTGGCGTACTTCAGCATCAGTTTGCGATCGGACTTGAATGTCACCTGTCACAATGTGTTGCTAGTCACTAGTATTTATTAATCGAAAGATCAGTGCATTTATCAAATTTGCCATTTAGATTTTTTTCCCTTAAATTAAAGTTTTATCTATGAAACGCGATGAAAAGTTTCATTAATCGTGTATCTTAAGATTTGTATCATATTAAATATAATTGTACGTAAATATATCAGTAGGCTATAATTGCACAAAATGTATACACTTTTTATAATAGTGGTCATCACAAAGAAGATCGAGAATTAATTTTGTTTTAAGTCGAGAGATCACTTTAATCACGTGATTATTTCAAATTATTTTTTCAATACCTTGTAACGAATTCCACACATTAACACGATATGTCAGTTACTAGCAACACCGACCTGCCACCAGTCGTTCTTCACGTACTCGATGCAACGGTGTATCTTAGGGCGACGTATCACGAAGACGCAGTACTTTGTCATCGCGGTGAGGCAGAAGGCCAGCAGACCGCTTAGCTTCAGTCTTATGATGATGTTTTTTTGATCATAGACGATATGCAGAGCGCAGGGCACTATCGCGAAGCTCAGCGCGAGATTAAAGAACGCGATCGCGATCTTGGACACGTGCCGTCCGATGCCTCGTATCGCGATCGGCCAAATGCCGAGCGAGCCCAGAATCCAGTTGTTCAACTTGAAGGTATATCGAATGTCTCGCTGATAATTGGAGTTCCGCGACGTCGCGGGCTCATCGCGTGCATTGGACATGTTCGCGGTGACAGATTCCGGCGAAGACTGCAAGAAGAGTGACGAGGCGGACGCGCGGCATTGATTGCAAGGTCGTGAGACGTGCGCTTGCGCTGGCATTGCAGGCACATCATTTTGCAATGCCAGCTGATAGTCAATAATAGTCTGACAGATCGTGTGCGCGCTATTAACCGGTAAGTGCAAAGCGCATTTTACATCTCGGCGATTCTAAATCGAACAAGCAGCACTTTCGCTGCTTTCTTTGAATTTTTCTAACCGATCTTAAGTGGTTACTTTTGAAAAATAGGTTTGGCAAAATTGGGAAAACTTTTCATAATTTAATATTTTCTGTTTTAATTGTCAAAGTAAAGTAATTGTTAGCAGGCGTTAAAAATAAAAATAAGGAATTATAAATTATTTGTGTGTGGGTAGCTCAACGACATAATTAACAGGATAAGAATATAGACGTCTGATGTTGATTATTTTAAATAATATTGTATATATCAAGATTCTACGTTGAACAGATTAGCTAGAAATTTAATATATTTCTTAACATATGTCACATAATTGCAATTGTATATTTACATGACTAATGTTCGTAGGAAGCTCAGATACGCCACGCTAGTTTTTAGTACCTAAAAAAATTGTGTTAAAATTTTATATTTTTTCAGTCGTAATTTAACTTTTTACAATTTTGAAGAATGAAATCTATTATTGAATTTCATATACAAAAATAATAAAAAATTCGGAAGATTAATTTTTTTTTTCGTAGAATTATTGCGTTCTTTGGTTTAAAATTGAAGGAAAAGTAGAAAATTCTAAATGGAAGTGAAATTAATAATTGTACGTGATGCCTCACATTTCCAAAAGTCGTTAATGACAAATCCGCCATTCCACCGGCACTAAGTTTTATGGGATGGCTGGACATAGAGATTATCAGTATAAGACTACGAACTGATCTTGGCGATAATTGATACCAATTGATCATGTAGCACATCGATCCAATTTGACTGCTCTGCAATGTCGGTCGCGAACGATTACTTAATTATGATTAGCGACTTTAAAGTTTGAACTTTAAAATTTGAAAAAAACATAGCTGTACCTTTTCCATGAGAAGCTCGCCAATGTAACATAATATGTATATATTGAAACAGAATGAAATGAAGAGCATAAAGTAGATTGATAAGCTAAGCTTATTGTCGTCTTGCCAGTCCTATTAAATTGTAAGTTGCAAATGTAATTTTAGAGTTTCTCGCGCTACTGATTATCGTTTTTCTGTGTTTTTTTTTTTTCAATATATTATAGTATCTATTAGCGCACCACTATACAGTAGTATTCGAGTAGACATATCGTGCATACAGAACTAGTAAATTCCACTAAACATACTTCTTGTAAAATTTCCTCCACCACGGCTGAAAACCTGCAATAAGTCATCCTAATCTGTACGAGAAAAATTTGAATGCATCGTACATTTTTACTCTAACATAACTTCATATTTAACTGCTGTTTAGTATAATAAACGTATAAACGCAGCTTGATGTATAAATGTAGTTTGATGTACAGTAACGCATGCTTATAAGTCCATATAGTCGTTTGATACATAACGGTGTCATTTACTGAAATGAATTGGATGTTCGTTGAGACCACCTGTTGCATTTGCTATTACATCCTTTATACAACGATATGAAAATAGTTCAAGTTGTATGAATGAAACTGTGCAATTATATTTCTTTCGAATTAAAAAATTAAACTGAGCGTAGTGAAATAAATACGTAACATTATTTCCGATCCAAATTAATTAAATTATATAAACGCTATTGTACGATAATGTCTTAAATTAATCTAAATAAAAATTATCATTAAATATTTCCAAAACTTTTTTATCAGGTGCAATTTAGACTGTAGCCTATTAAAAATTGTTGACTACATTTTTTAATTTTTTTATACCATTGAACTGTGATGAATTCTTAATAAGTTGCTTTTCTGAAATATTACCTTACTATGCGAACGTGATCCTTCACGATGACAGCGATTCGTTGATGAATGCTTGGGCCCTTGCTGTTTAAGAGTTCTTCCAATCGCGACACGATCACTTGGATCTGGCCGCACGTATGAGTGACGAACAGCGCGGCCAATCCGCACGCGCCGACCGTTATCGAGTACATGGTGTATCCGCACATGCAGTGCGCCACATATACGATTTCGTATATCGGGCTAACTTGGGATTGGCGGAATTCACTGTAAGTCGGATACACGAGCGGTCTGACGGTTTGATTGTTGATTTTCTTCTCGGAGAAGAACGGAATCAGAATCATGTAGTAAATAACGCCGGCGGTGTACATGAAAGACGCGCTGATTATCGTTAGATTGCGACCAATGGTAGCGTATTTCAGCATCAGTTCCCGGTCGGACCTGAACGTCGTCATCTGTCACAGTAATTTTTATTTGCCGAGATAAATGAGAACACTGTTTATCAATTTAATTAATCTAACTATTTCGTCTTTAATTGAAGTTGTACAAATGTAGATAAAAAAATTTAATTAAACCGCGTATTCATCTTTGTTGAATATTATTTTAAATATTATCATGCTATAGTTGTGCGAGATACCCTTTTTAAATAGCAATAAGAATTATAGTTTCAAAAGAGCGAATTATTTTAAATTATTAATTAATTATTTTAAAATCGAGATCGCACTAAATACTATCATTATTATTATTATTATTATTAATAATCACACTTTTTTTTTATTTAAATTATTCTCAGTACTTTATGATGATCTCTGCAAATTAGAACAATACGTTATGTTAATTGCTGACAACACCGACCTGCCACCAATCGTTCTTTACGCATTCGATACAGTGCAGTATCTTAGGGCGACGTATCGCGAGGATGCAGTACTTCGTCATCGCGGTAAAGCAGAAAGCCAGCAGGCCGCTTAGCTTCAACTTCATAATGATGTCCTTCTCGTCGTAGACGATGTGCAGGGCGCACGGCACCATCGCGAAACTCAGCGCGAGATTACCGAGCGCGATCGCGATCTTGGACGCGTGCCGTCCGATGCCGCGAAACGAGACCGGCCAGATGCCGATCGAGCCGAGAATCCAGTTGTTCAACTTGAAGACATACTGAATGTCCTGCTGATAGCTGGAACCCTTCTCGCCACGTGCACTTGGCATGTTTGCGACCACAGCGGCTGCTAAAGACTGTACGAGGTGAACGCGCGGCGCATTGATTGTAAGGTCGTGCGCTTGCGCTCAAATTGCAGATATCCTGCCTGCATATAGTCCGTCGCGTATATAGTCTCTGTGCGATTAACATTGTGCGAAGTGTTTTTGTACGGTACGCTAGCATCGTCATAAAAACACTTTACTTCTTGCGGAAGAGCGATATTAAGAGAAGTTTCTCTCTCTGTCGTACTTTTCATTTCTTTGAATATTGTGAAAATGCGAGATTGAAGTGAAATACATAGTACACATTGATTTGCTAATATAAAATAAAAGTAGTTGGAGATTTAATAAATTAAAAGTGCACTAGAGAAACAGAGAGTAAGTAGATGTTATCATTACAAAATGTTATCTTTTTTCTAATATTTTTTTTAATTAAGGAACATGTAAAAATATAAATAAGGATTATATTTACAGCTATCATTTGCATAAATGAAAAATATTATCAGGGAAAAATTATTGCAAATATGTGGATCGCATTTTAAATGATATATTGCAATTAATGTGGTTCTGAAGGAGCATAAAATATTTTTATAAAATTTTGATTTTGGATAAGTTTGTTATTTAATATATATTGGGCATGTGCGTTTAATGGGAGGATTTCAAACACGTGTACATTATTAATTATTATTTTGAATATTCGTAATTATTCATAAATTTTCTTTTCATTAAAGAGGTTACTGAATGTTATTTTGCTCATTGATGTGAAGCGGGATTAGAAAGATTCTCTCGCGTGTATCAAACGAAAGTTCGGAGCAAGTTTAGATACGCAATCGAAGTTTTCAGAACCTGTTAATGTAATAAATAAGTAATTTCTTTTTATTATTGCGCCTTCTTGTCCTCTCTAAGTTACGATGAATTGTACTTACGTTGCCGAAACTAGAGAACGAAAGATTAATTATTTTTCCTGCAGTAATTTTTACTGGAAAATGCGATATGCTGATTATTAACGTGAGATCGAGTGCAACTTTCCCTGATAAATGGTACCACTCGATTCCGTACGAAGTATATCCAACTTTGCTGCACTAAATATTTAATTTATATATATATATATATTTATATATATATATATATATATAATTTATATATATATATATATATTTAATTTATATATATAATGTTCAAATTTCTATGATTAGCAATATCCAAATGTTTTAACATTTAATTTAATTTATTATTAAAAATTTAAATATAAACACCTGATTTGTTAACTGTTCACCAATGTAGCAAAGTATGAAAACATTGAAGGTAAATGATATCAATAGAAAGAGATATGTCAAAATTGCTATGCTATCGTTGTTCCTCCATTCCTGTGAGAATAAGAATATAATATTTAAATTATTGATTTTTTTCCTTATATCTTTTTTATTGAATTAAAAGCATGTGTGTTTACAACGCGAAATTTATTTTGTTTCTTTAAAGAATAAAAATGCTTCCAAAAAGTGTAAAAAATGTTAACTATTCATGAACTGATGAATGACGAGAATGCGAGTTGAATAATATATTTAAACTTTTACACCAATTTTCTTAAATTCAAAATTTTTTACGCATTACCGTGAGGCAATCATATTCCAGCACGCATATAGTAAACGTTGTTCCCACTACTTCAACCAGATATATTTCGCGAAAAATACTATCGATGCTGACTGAAAATCTGTAAAATTCTTTAGAGTATTTTATATATCAAATTAATGTTATTTAATAAATAAAATTAATTTCTTTCAATTAATTTACTTTCCGCGAGATAATATAATTAATAGAATCTAAATTTACATTAATTTTTATTTATAAAGTAAATATTTTTATATTAAGATTAAAAAATTTTCTATTTTTATTTCTTCTGTAAATATCCTTTATTTATCTGTTGTTCATATAAATTTTCAATATAAATTAAATGATCGGATATACAAATAATTTTTTCTGCAACGTTTCTTGTGCAACAAGCACTCACCTTAATGACTGCACATGGTGTTTCACAATAACCGCCATACGCTGCTTCATGCGATCGCCTTGTGTACCTTTTACAAAGCTTTCTACACGAGCCATCACGGTCTCGATTTGACCGCAAGCGTGAGCTACGAACATAGATGCCAAGCAACACACCGCCGTGGTGACGTTGAACAGGACGATGCTACCGAACCATTGCCCGCAAAAGACGAACACATAAGTCGGCATGAATTGCAAGTCGAAAATGACGTCGTAGCCGGGATAAGGTATCGGCCTAACGGTGACGTTCTGCTCATTGAGCGTCATGGCGGGTGACAGAAACGGCAGCACGGTATGAAAAGACAAGCCCCCGGAATACATGAACATTATGCAGAACTTGGACAACACATGGCTCTTCGCCGCGTTCTTAATCATGATCTTTCGATGATCCTCCTGCTGGACCGCGCGCCAGTCGGTGCTCAGCACGCGAATGCTTCGCCGGATGTTCTCGCGACGCATCACCAGGAAGAAGTACTTGAGCATCGAGGTCAGCACGTAGTTTAGCGGGCCCAGTATCTTGAGCTTGTCCTCGACCCTGTGCTCCGAGAGCGTGAAGATGACCATGGGAATCAGGAGGAAACTGAGCGCGGACCAGCATAGCGTGAACGACAACGTCGCCAGGATCTTCTCGATCGTCGAGGTGTCCGTGTACACCAGCGGCCAGACCCCGAGGATTCGCAGTATCCACCGGCACCACACCAGCGCGTTGATTATGTCCCTCTCGCTGTTCACGTTCGACCAAGAGTTATTGAGCTTGGCCATACCTGTCTCGAAGGCGCGGGGACGACTGAGAGGGTGGCAGCGCTTTGTCGATAGCGTGATGGTAAAAAATTGCGCATGACAATCGCAAATGCTTTCGGCACAAAGGAGGACAGGAAAGGGGAAGGACAGCGTGGCGTGTGCGCTTGAAAAATCAATTTTGTCGAGGGGAGGATTACTTTGTTACAGTTGTATTGCTACCTTCACGGAGGGTTTTTCTGCAGCATGTAAACTGCTTGTGCTATATTTCCGCGCATTTTTCCGCCGATCGATTAAACCTTTTCAAATCGAATAGTGTGGTATGATTTAAAATGGAGTGATTTATGTGTGAAAGCAGAAAAGTGAGACTATCGTATTTTATAATAATAGACAGATTTCTAACGATATTGTTGTTAGAAAATATATACACATAAATATGTATATTACCTGTTTTTATCTTTTGGAAATATACAGGTAAAACTAAAAACATCTTAACGAGCCCTATTTCTTGTTTAATTTGAAAAGCATTAATTTTTCATTTATGCATTAAATAATTTATTTAACATGCATACATTTTCATCTTAAAAAATATTGATTAATGCTTTTTTTGCACCAGAGAGAATCAGAATAAATGCATGTTATTTCATGTCTATCGAATGGCAGTTCGAAGCAAGTTTAAATATGCGACCGATGTTTTTAGAACCTATAAAGTGCACAGTGCCACTATTAAATTCCATTTGCTACAGACCATAAATTTGTTTAGATTTTCATCATTTTCACTCTTTTGAATTTAATAATTTTTGTGTTTCTGACTCATGAGATTGAATTATACTTACATTTCCAAAATTACCGAAAGAAAGGCTTATTAATCTTCCGGCGGTAATTTGTACGGGATGTCGAGACATATTGATCATCAGCATTAGGTCAAGAGCGACTTTTCCCGGTAAATCATACCATTCAATTTCATACGAAGTATGCCCGATTTTGCTGCACTGTATATCCAATTTTGCATATTTGCGAATTACATATCAATTGAGTATATTATTTAAATACATCGGCCAAAATACTTATATTAAAGTCTGTGAAATCACGATAATTAATTCAATCTGATATATAAAATTTAATTACAAGCACCTGCTCCGTCAATAATTCGCCGATGTAACAAAATATAAAGATGTTGAAGACAAATGAAACGAATAGAAAAAAGTATGTGAAGATCGCTATACCGTCGCTATTGTTCCATTCCTGCGAATGGAATATTGTTTCACATAATTTTATACTGGAAAATATTTACTCTTCAATGTATATAAATATGTACTCTACAAATTATAAATTTCAGCATTACTACGTGAACGTATGAAACATTTAATTACCGTTATCAAGGAATATTCTACCAAGCACATTATTAACGTTGTTCCCACCATCTCGACTAGACATAACTCGCGCAGAGTATCTTCGATGCTAGCTGAAAATCTACAAAGTTATGAGCTAGCATTCGTCAAACATTTTTAACAAAATAGAGAAAAATGTAATTTTTTTATCAGCTGATAATATTCTGAGTAACGTTATACCTTAGAAAAAGAAGTTCTGGTAAAGGAATTCGTGGGATACTCTCGTGCAGACGTTATTATTGAGACGTGCAAGTAATTTTACAGACATGCGAGATGCAGGTAGCAAGACGAGATACTTACCTTAATGCTCGCACGTGATGCTGCACGATAATCGCCATGCATTTGTCAAACTTCACGTGGCTGCGTTCTCCCTTGAAAAGATTCTCCACGCGCGCTATCACGATGTCTATCTGACCACAGGCGTGAGCGACGAACATGGCCGCTAAGCAGCACACCGACGTGGTGATGTTGAACATGACAATACCGGTGAAGCATTGAAGAATAAAGGCGAACACGTAGACTGGCATCAGTTGCAAATCGAAGACAATGTCGAAGCCGAGATAGGCCATCGGCCGGATGGTGACGTTCTGCTCGTTCGCGTCGGACGACGCTTGCGACAGGAAGGGCATCACCGTGTTGTAAGACAGGCCGCCGCAGTACATGAATGCTATACAGAACTTGGACAGCAAGTGGCCCTTCTCCGCGTCCCTCATCATGATCTTCCGGTGATATTCCTCTCGAACCATCCGCCAATCCGTACTGAGAATCCGTACGCAACGTCGAATGCTCTTATGACGCACCACGAGGAAAAGGTACTTCAACATGGAGAAGAACACGTAGCCTAGCGGGCCCAGCATCTTCATCTTCTCGCCCATGATACTTCGGTCCGTGAAGGTGTACATGCTCGTAAGTACCAGAAACAGACCGAGCACGGTCCAGCACGACGCGAAAGAGAACGTCGCCAGGATCTTCTCGATCGTGGTGGTATCCGGGTATATCAGCGGCCAGATCCCGAGGACCCGCAGTAACCAGCGGTTCCATAACAGAATGTCGACTACGTCCTTCTCGTGATTCGCATTGGGCCAGATTGGGATTTTGCCCATATTGCCGTGTCGAGAGTGCGCGAGCGACTGGCTGGTACCATATCGATTGTAGAATGGTAGAAAATTTGCGCATGACCACAATAAGTACTTTCAACGATATATTAGGAAGGACAAGAGAAGGAGAAAGGTAGAGAAAGGGAGCAGAGGGGCCCTAGCATGGGCTTGAAAAATCGATTTTGCAGAGATGTATAGCTTCAGTTGTATGTTATCACCTGCAAAGATGATCACTCTACTACAATACTCTACTGCAAAAGTGGTGGCTACATTGCTTTGGAATTATTTGTTGATGATTTATGTGAGATAAAATAAGATTTAGTGAATGAGAGATAAAATAAATATTATAGTAGTATCTTCTTTTTTTATGAAATATGTAAATATACTTTTGAGAGCGCCTTCTACGAGGTTGAATCTTGATGCCAAACCTTGGCTGAGGTAATATTTTTCTCACAATAATTTCTTCGTAATGTTTCGAGACGTTTGTTTGTATTAAAAATTGAAAATCAAATTAATAGTGATCTCATTATTCCCAGTGAGCTCTATAGTCTACTGGAGCAAGCCATCGAGAAGTGGGATGTCTCAATTCCTTGATAATGAACATTCATATGAAGAATTGTGTTCTCTTTATCAAGGAATCACTGATTGAATAATACTATTTTACTATCATGCTGTATTTTATCATATAGGAAAGTGTCAAAAACAATTTTTGTATTGTTTTCCTTTTCTCCGTCCAGCTACAGTTTTTTATAGTTTAGTATAGGGAAGGCTCGCTCCAGTATACTATAGAGCTTACTGACCAGCTTCAGCTTGTGATTGCGTTACAAGTCCAACATTAATTCGGCACGCAATTTAAGTGTCTTTTAAGTGTCTGAACAATGGATTTAGAATTCACATAGAAATATTATTATATATTATATTTCCTGATACTTATAATTTAGTTAAATATTATTTAACCAAGATCCAGCCTCCAGATCGTAGAATTAAATTTATTCTTGGCATTTACCTGCGCGGTTTAGTTTAATTTATTATTGATTTTATAAATGTTTTGATTGAGTACCTATATATAAATACGTGAAATCAGCATTCTGCACACAATATGAAAGATACTTTGATTAATACTTTGATTTTATAATATCAGTTATTTTATTAATATTATCTCTATACAATATCTATAATAAAAATATATCTATCTGGCAAATTTTTCAAGTAGCAAAGGCTATGACACATGGAATGAAATTCTATTCCGTAACCGTACGAAGTAAATTTAAATACACTACTGACGTTCTGAGTATCTGAAAGTGATAAGAGCCTTAGAATTATAAAAATAACAAAGAGGAAAAAATATATAAAGACAAGTGAATAATGAAATTCAGCGATTAATTGAGCAATAACAATAATTGTGTGAGAAACTCACAGCACCGAATGTGTTAATGGATAAAT